AGGCCGAGTTCGCGGTTTGAGCGCCCAGCGCAGACCGACCGACCGCAGGGGGGGCCCGGTCGACGGCCGCGGAAGACCGCAAACCGGAGGGGGGGTCCGGTCGGTCGGACGGAGCACAGACCGAGGGGGGGGGGGGGTCGGTCGGGTTGGCTCGAGGCACGAGGGTCACACACACCGCACACCGACGCTCGCCGCAGCTGTGAATAAATTAGTATCTCGAAATACTAGAGACCAAGCGCCCTCTCCCCGTCTACTCACTCCTCGTCGTCCGAGTGGCTGAGCTCGAGCGAGACCGAGACGCTCAGGATTGGGTCGGAACACGAGCTTGTCCATGTCCACACTCTGGTCGTCGTCGTCCATACGATTAGCTTCGCCGGCGACACACTGTACCCGTTGACGAGCCGCTTGAGCGCGGCCAGAGCTTGTACAAAGCGACGGCAAGCAGGACCAGGCCTGCGACTGCGTAGATGCTCCACATACATGTGTGGGGTCGGGCTTGCTCGGGCCTCGGCGAAGAAGTCTCCTGGCGCTTGGCTGCGTAACTAGTTTTCATAGTGAAAACCGGCGATTTCGAAGCGCCCGTGGCGGGGTTCGCGAGAAGGAGGGAGAGAGAGCGTTTGAGGGGCTCACGGCAAGGACACCGACCGAGGGGGGGGTCGGTCGTCACACCTCCCGCCGCCGAGAGAGCGACCGACCGGAGGGGGGGTCCGGTCCACCTCGGGGGCAGACCACCGACCGGCGGGGGGGTCCCCACGTGCCACGAACTAGGGGGGGTGGTACAAAATGACGCTCGTATAACTGGCTAGGGCTGCAGAAGCAGCGTATCTCACAGTCGTTCTTCACATAAACGCACAACTCCGGACCCAAGACGCACAAGCACAGACAGTCGTTCTTCACGTAAACGCACAACGACCCCGGGCCCTCACACGGGACACGGCCATCGCAGAGCAGATTAGTGTTGTGCGAGGGAGTTTTGTTGTAAAATTCTTTTGTGTACCTTGTAACAAGTGTTGTGCGACGGAGTTTTCTTGTAAAATCCTGATACACAACGGGTGCGATTCAAAGCTCCGCGGTGGATACGAGCTGAGCCAAGTGAGAGCGAGGCTGTGCGGGTGAAGAGCCGCAATAAGCTCCTGCCGAGGTACGGTCCTGTCCGACGAGGGTGGATGTCGGCACGCCTGCGGGACGTCTGCGGGAGGATCTCACGACTGTCGTGGCCAAAAAAATTCTTTTGTTGAAGCACACTGCCCGCCAGCACACACCCTGCTGAATCATATGTCTCGCCCTCCAGGCCGCAACGGCGCCAAGCTGGAGCAGCGCAAGGCGCGGTCCCGCCCTCTCCGCCGCCGCGCCTCGCTCGCGTGCGCTCGACGCGGCCGCGTCGCCTCGCAGGTCAGCGTTCACGAGGCCAACAGCGTAACAAAGGACTTCCTGCTGCTCTCACAGCCCTTCATCAACGCCGGCATCCTGATCGCGTCCGCCTCGTCGGGCCGCCGCCTGTACATTCACCACCTCACCGAGGTGCCGCTCAACGAGGTGTACCTCACGCGGACTGGAAACCACCTCCAGCGGGTCGACCAGGCGCACCGCGCCGCCGCGTGTGTGTGTCAACGCTTCCACTCCCTCGCCAGCGCTGCCGGCCGCGCTCCGCGCGTCTTGCCCGGACCTTGCCGCCACCGCCTCAACTGCCGCGCTCGTCACCGTTGCCCCCCTCGCCACCCCGGCGCAAACCCTCCGACATGTCTGCCGCTGCGCCGCAGAGAACTGTCAACCTGACGGCGCCGGCAAAGGGGACGGCGATCGACATCAAGGTGGAGGAGATCCCGCCGCTGCCGGTGCTCTCCGTCAAGATGACCCTCGCGCTCCCGACCTCCGTCTTCTCCGGCCCCGCCCGCGCGCGCGACAACGCCGTGCTCGACCTGCTACAGCGTGGCAAAGAGGCGACTCCCTCACCCACCCACCCACTCACCCACTCACTCACTCACTCACTCACTCGCCCGCACCCTCCGCCATCCTTCCTCCGCACCCGCCGCCATCCCCTCCACCGCCATCGCCCTTGCCGCCGCCGCCACGGCCGTCGCCACCGCCACGACGTCGGCCCAGACACTTCCTAGACACTTCCTAGACACTTCCTCGACACCTCCTAGACACTTTCTGCCTCGCGTCGGCACATGCCGCCGCCACTTCGCCGCCGCCACGCCCAACGCCGGCCACCTTGCTCTCCCAGGCAAACGGCGCGGGCGACTTTGGCACCGCGTGCGCCTGTTTCGAGGCCGCGTACGCTCTCTCTGTCCGTGCGGGCCAGCTTGCCTAGACGCGGAAAACGCATCCTTGTACTCCAACCAGCGCTCGAGAGGAGAGGTATTCCGCCGCGTTCCGCTGTACTCCGCTGTATTCACTGTATTCCTATCCGTCGTATTCACGCGGTGCTCTCAATACGCTGCACAGTACCGTCTTCCCGCCCTGCAGTCGTTGAAGCCGTGAGTGACAATCGTTGAAGCCACCATCAACATGGCCCCATGCTGCCTCTGACCCTAACACTAACTTCAACCCTGACCCTCACCCTCACCCAAACTCTCTCCCTAGCCCTGATGGCGGCGTATTCAGCACGCAGGCATGCTGGTGTCTGCGGCGAACATGCGGCTGAAGCTGTCGCACGCGGCGACAGCAGCGGCCATGTACCGCTTCGTGCTCTCCGAGTGCTCCCTCCTGCCTGCGGAGCAGGAGATGGCCTCACGGAAGCTGGGGGAGGCGCGCGCCGCGGTCCTCTCCGAGACGTGTCGTGTCCCGGACAGAGCCGTGTCCGAGACGTGTCCGAGACGTGTCCGAGACGTGTCCGAGACGTGTCCGAGATCTCTCTGAGACGTTAGGCCGTCCGAATCGATTCGTGGAGGGATGGAAGCATCAATGAGTCGATGCATGGCCGACCTCAGGCGCAGGCCGTGCTCAAGGGGAGAGGGCTCGGCGGCGAGAGTGCGCCGGTGGCGAGCGCGCCGCCGCCCACGTTTGGCTCTTTCGAGGATTGCGCGAGTGAGATGGGCAGCGAGCGTTCCGAGGGCGAGGGCGCGGACGGCGACCCGTTCGGCACCTTCTCCGCAGACTTTGGCGACTTTGACGACGGAGGCGGGCTCGACGGCGGCTTCGACGGCGGCTTCGACGGCGGCTTCGACGGCGGCTTCGACGCCGCCTTTGAGGAGCCGGCGGGAGATATGGGGAGATATGGGGAGATATGGGGAGATATGAGCCGGTACTCGACCATCTTCCGCACGAGCCTCCTCCTCACCATCCCCAGTCCCATCCTCCACTTCCACCACATCAGCGTCACTCGGTGTCTCACCGTCTGCGCACTTGTCACGTGTCTCTTGATGCCTAGGCGCCGCCAGCGGCGTGCGCCTCGCCGGCCGTCACGAGCACGCCCTCCGCCTCGCCGCTGCCGGCGCAGAAGCGGGCCAACGGTGCCGCCGCTCCTGCCGCTGCTCCTCCCGCCACCGGCGGCGGTGGCGCGACGCCCTTGGCGCCGCCGCCCGCTGTGAACGGCGCGGCGGCGGCGGCGGAGAGTGCGGTGCGGCACGCCGAGGGCGGCGGCGGCGGCGGCGGCGGCGGCGGCGGCGGCGGCGGCGGCGGCGGCGGCGGCGGCGCGTCCTCGGCCGCGCTGGAGGAGCGTCTGCGCGTGCTGGAGCAGGGCGCGCGCGCGAGTGCAGACCTGGAGAAGAGGATGGAGCGGCTGTCGGCGCAGATGGAGCGGCGTTTCACGGGCGCGAGAGAGATGGCGTGTGCCTCCGAGGAGAGTGGGAGGGCGGGCGGGCGGGGGAGACTCCCTTCTCTCTCTCTCTCTCTCTCTCTCTCTCTCTCTCTGTCTCTTGTCTGTTTGTCTCAGCAGCGCCGCCGTGAGCAGGAGTCAAGGTGCGACCTTTCCGCGACCTTTCCGAGACCTCTCCGGGACCTCTCCGAGACGTGTCTAGGCGTGAAGACGGGCATGCGCGGACTGCACGAGCGGCTGCAGGCTGTCGAGGTTGCAATCCCCCCCGCGCCGGCGGCCGCGGACACGCCCGCGGCAGGTCGGGACCGGTCCCTGTTGCAACTGTGCGGCCGTAGGTTGCGATGGGCAAGCTGCCCGGGCACATGAAGCGGTTCCGCGGGTGGCATAAGCAGCAGCAGCACGAGATTGCCGAGCACGCCGACACGCTCCGCCGGCTAGAGGTGCACGCAGCTGCCCCTAGAGTGGTTAGCACGCAGTTGCCCCTAGAGGGGTTAGCACGCAGTTATCCCCTAGAGGGGTTGGGGTGGAGGGCGCGCGCCTTCTGCCGCCCCCTTCGCCGGTAGACATGGCGCATGGGTGGCGCTTCTGCCGAGCCTTTCGAGCTTCCGCCGTGGCCCTGTTGCGCCTCCCTGCCCCCGTTCTGCCGCCCGCCCCACTCCCCG